GGTACGGTAGCTACCAGCAGGAGCGGGACCCGTTATTCGAGTCAGGCGGGAGAAAAAGCCGGGCAAACCTGAGGGAAAACCCCGGGCGGCCGCAGCGGGGGGAGGGACTGAGGGGAAGGGCGAAGCGAGGCGGGCCGGGCCGGGCCGGGCCAGCACAGGCTCTGGGGGTGAGTCGCTGTGTGGAAACTTCCACGCCGAACACGTTATTTGCATCGCTTTTCCCTTCTGTTTTTCCTCTGGAGGGATCAGTGCAGCAGTGGCAGTAAGCCACCGGTTTCAGTAACACCGTCATATAATTTTTATTGTTCATTTGTATTAGTTAATGTGTATTTATATTGTCTTCATATTGTACTTGCATGCGCTTTCCACAACAGCATTTTGTGTGCTGTTCTGGGCTGGGCAATCAATACGCATCAAACCAAAAGGGTCATCAGGGTCTTTTTCTTGACTGATCATGCTTAATTTAAAGTGCAATAAACTACAGAACTAATTCAAATTATCCTTTTAAAATAGCCTTATATTTACCAGCAAGGAGTTCATTTGCTTGTTGTGGTGCTCCAACCTTGACTGTGAACCTTTGGGGTCTTTATTCATCCTTTATTCTGTGGGAACCGTGACTGTGACTTCCCTGGGAAGACCGGGAACGTTCACCGGCATTGGAGTATTCCTGACAGCACCTGTGGCTGAGTCCCAGCTGCGACCACGCTCCTCACGGGCGGTGTAGAGAAGCGCTCCCAGGTGCCATGCTTTACTTTAAATACCCAAGCAACCCAGGTGGTGACCTGCCCTTCCCAAGCTGTGGGGTGCAGCGGGACTGCTGTGCTCCTGCCTCCCCTCAGCAGCCCGTCCTGCGTGGCCAGGCCATCACCTTTCATGGCCAGCCCGTTCTTCCTGGCCAGGCTACTGTCCTTCATGATTAGCCCATCCTTTGTGGCTATGACCATCTTTCATGGCCAGGTGTCCTGGCCCAAACCACGATGCCAGGCCACCTTTCATGGCTGGCCCATCCTTTGCGGCCAGGCCACTGTCCTTCACGGTCAGGCCACCTTTCGTGGCCAGTCCAATCTTTGTAGCCAGGCCACCATCCTTCATGGTCAGGCCATCCTTCATAGCCAGGCTGTCCTTTGTGGCCAGGTCACCTTTCATGACCAGTCCATCCTTTGTGGCCCAAACCATGACACCAGGCCTCCATCTTTGATGGTCAGGCCACCTTTCATGGCAAGCACAACTTTTGTGACCAGGCTGTTGTCCTTCGTGGTCAGGCCACCTTTCATGTCCAGGCTGTCTTTTGTGGCCAGCTCCATCCTTCATGTCCACGCTGTTTGTGGCCAGGCCACCTTTCATGGCTAGCCCATCCTTCGTGGCCAGGACACCATCCTTCATGGCCAGCCCAACCTTTGTGACCGGGCTATTGTTCATGGTCAGGCCGCTTTTCATGTCCAGGCTGTCCTTTGTGATGATGAACATCCTTCATGGCTGGCTCCATCCTTTGTGGCCAAGCCACCTTTCATGGCCAGCTCCATCCTTCGTGGCCAGGCCACCATCGTTCCTGGCCAGGCCCCCTTTCATGGCCAGCCCAACCTTTGTGACCAGGCTGTTGTCCCTGATGGCCTTTCGGGGCCAGCCCGTCCTCCTGCCCAGCCCGCCCTCAGCGGTGCGGTGCGGTGCGGAGGCGGCGGAGGGGCCGCGCCCGGCGGTGAGTG